CCGGCGATACTTTAAAAACGTGAGCTGCAGTTATTATTTACATGTGTAGCCTTGACGGACGAGCATTCAAATATTTACGGAAGGTACCAACCTCTTTAAAAATGGCTGTTTGTTTTACTTAAGAGGTCTTCGTTCTCAACTTTTCTCAAGTAGTTAATTAAAATTTTCCGTTCTTCCTTATTTTGCAATTTTCCACGGTGTTTTAAGTGTATCTCTGTTTACGGTGATGATTTTCGCGTAGGCGATAATTTTCCACCAAGAGTAGTTACGTTTATTTTGTACTCGCAGGAGGAAACATGTTAGCAGAAACTCCAATGGGAAAGAAGTTTGAAGGTTTCTAGGTCTTTGGCCATCGTCTAAAATATAAATAAAATCAAGACGTTTCGGAAGCTGGTTTCTGCTTCCATATTCAGGTAAAGAAGGGAGGAGAACAGAAACCTAATCTGCCGAGACTCTTGGCTGCTCTAACTCAGAAATAGTAGTTTCGGCAACAACAGATCTTTTTTATGATACAGAGCGCAGGCAACAAAACCATTGTCAGCTCACAGCTCAGAATATAAATCTGGACATCTCAGTCATTTGTCTCCAAGATCACTTACTAACATTGTCTATGCAGTAACTTCTTAATATTTACTAACTTTATTTTGATACTGGGAACGAACCGTTCTTCAGTGCCTGAGCACTGCGGGTCCCAAATTTTCGTTGGCTTGATCAATAGACATTCGGTAGGACTCCTTGGATGAAGGATCGGCCCGTCGCAAGGCCTCTACCTGTACACAGGACAACGCGGACAAATATCCATGGCTTGAGTGGGATTCGAACCCACGGTCCCAGTGCCGAACTCAAAGAGAGATAGAGAAATAAAGCCACGTACCGGTATAAATAATATTGATTCGAGAAAGATAAACGTGGTTTTTGAAATATTTTAAATACACAATGTGCGTTTCATTTGTTCCTTACATATTTTATTTCAAATGATTTTTTATAGTAAGAAAACATTTGAGAAACACTGTATTTGAAGAACGTCCATCACTTCATATGCGCACGTTGCTAAGCAGATAAAAGCAACAGCTATTCGTCTGTAAACATTCAGTAAACAGTGTATTTTTTTTAAAAGGACTCAAGCAAATTCTCGAGATCTTTGTAATTTTACGTAATTTTTCATCAAATGTAAGTTTGTACCGGACGACATTTACGCGTAGAACTCAAAGCGACAGTCAACACCCAGCTATCTGCAAGACATCCTACAGAATGAGCTCAGTAACACTACAGTTGGTATAATTTCTAAAGCTTACGTGTAAACGTGTTTCCTCGTAACACGGATATTTAAATGTTGTTCCAATGTGTTCGTGAACGTCGTCCTACAGCATTTACCTCTGGCCAGACTGTGTTGTGACGACGCATGCATTTAAATGGCGTTCTTTACGTAAGCAGGGTGAGCAATTTTCCGCTTTCACTGGACGTTTAGTTAACGTGTTTGCTGCATTTCTGCAACGGTGTTCAAATACGCCCTAAAATGTCCTCTCTAGATTTGTCTGCAATGGAGACTTAGAACACGACACAAAATAAAACCAACAATTCTCTCTTCCAACATTTCAGCTAGCGAATCAGAAGATAATGTACCACGTGTTCTGTCGGATTCTTGGTCACGACTCCTGCGACATGACTCGGTCCATCACGGCACATTTGTCCGTGTATACGTTTTCGTCGGGAAACGCAGGAAAACTGAAACAGCTGTCACAGACTTTCAGGGGAGGACGAAGACCGATCTGATTTCACGCCTCTCAGAAGCTACGAGGTGCGATCGGAAAGTTTCAAGACTGCGCCTATAAAAACCCGTACACTTATCTCTTCCTTTAGAATCAGCTGACAGGTCCCATAGCCTATCCCAACAATGTCGCACACGTCGTTGATGGTACGACGTCGATCTTCGTAACATTTTCGGGCGTTGTGCTCGAAGATGGTCGTCCAGAACGCTCGTCATCATCGACAGAGGTTCGGCCATTTTTAAAACGTGAATGCCACACAAAAGTTGGTGCACGACCCATTGCGGACTCCCCAAATGCTTGCTTTAGCATTTCATAGATTTCCGTAGCCGTTTTGGTGAGTCTTTGGCAAAATTTGATGCACACGCCAGTCCGAAATCGCAGGAGGGTCGGTGTAATGCACTACCAAAACGCCCGTAACTAAGAAACAAATGCTAATTCGAGGATGCCGGCTGGCACACTGATTCACTATGAATGTAGCGGCAGAAGCTCGTACTACATCCGGTTCGCCCTCTATTGACACAATCTTGAAACTTTCCGATCGCACCTCGTAAATGTTAATAATATTCGAGTAGTTTTACTGAAACGCGCTTAGTTTATACTGGGCCTTTACTTATGGTATTTTATGGGACATTTGACATATTAAACGCGCTAATTTTTGTCCATTACTTATTTCTTATAGTCACAGGGTTTGTTTCCATTAAAGACGTAACCTTTCCCCTCCCCCATTGGCAGAACATGACTGATCCGTTACTTGAACGTCATTTCTATTTCTTAAATGTGTTTGCTCACAGAAAACCTCTGTGTGCTGCTGTTACGCGGAACAGACATGTCAGAGAACGTGGCATTAGAACTAAATAAATAGGTTCTGTTGATCCGCCATCCGAACAAACAGGTACATTCGTCTCTGTTTAATTTTCGACCCACAGACTGTAATTCAGTTTGACTGACAGTAGAACGCGTTCTTCAAATAATGATCCCTGCCAAACGTTCGCGTCGTTAATCCTGTCTGTCTGTCTGTGGGCCCCTCCGAACAGTTTTCTAACGCGAGAACCGATTTTGACGAATGCCTGTGTAAAGATTGGTTAGTCGTTGAGAATAATTCCGTTCTCAAATGTTTTATTTTAGCCATGATTTAATTCATATTTTACTTTCAACTTCTGAATCTTTAATTCTAACTACTGACACCTTCGTTTACTTTCTGCCGCTAAGAAGTGGTTTCCTACACACAAACTGTGATCTGTTAACGATCCGTTAGTAGTAACGAACGTGTTTACTCACAACGAAAAGTTGTCCAAATCTTATTACTGGCAGACGTCGTTAACTCAGCTGAGTAATTAAAATATTTACCATCTTTCAGTCCACGTAAGCAAAATATTTAGCGCACCGCGATTCTGTTATTTCCCTCTGACTAAAAATATATTAATCAAATAACGCGATTCTGTTATTTTTCTCTGACTAAAAATATATTAATCAAATAAAAAATAATGTACAAATACACAAGAGCTGAAACTACATCGACTGACAACAGTGAGGAACCCCTCATTCTTGGTTACAGAATCTGGGATCTACCAAGATGTGTGTTGGCTTGCAATGAATTATCATTGTTCGAAAAATTCGTGATTAAATAATGAATTATTTCGGTGCGTTATGTCTGCAGCTGCAGGATAAAGTCCCGTCTTCTGTGAACCCGGTGGCAACGCCAGGGCGAAGTCGGACGACCGGAGCCAAGACTCTTCGACGCACTCGACGTTGCTGGTTCCGGATAAAAACAATGCGAACGTTCCACAACGGAAGATAAGGCGCTGAAGTGAACATTGGGACTTGAAGGACAGATGATCCAGACGCCTCACAGTGAACACTTAACTTCGTTCCCGAACTCCCCACTACATCAGTGTCATCTTCAGAGAGGGGGCATGATTTATAATCTCATGCAATGAGACAGTCAGCTGCATAATCATTAGGGCGGAATCCACGGACATTTTCAGTGGCAATGAAGAGAATGAACAACGAAAGGTTAATAATCATCAGCTTTGCAACTTGAGCACTTTTCCTAGCAATTTCTTTAGTAATTAAACAAAGATGGATGAAGAAGTGTTTCGTTCGGAATCTTCATGGGAATCGACCGACGGCTTGCCAGAGGTCGCTGCGCACTGGACAACGGCGTTGAAATAAATCACAGAGATTAACGCCCTGAAGATGTATACATTATATCTGATGTACCTGGCTCACGACACCGTCCAGTGGCGTACTCGCTTTAAGGCGACGAACGTATCAGCTCTCATGTTTACAAAAATTTAATTTATTAAACCATATAATGCGCCTGTTTTGACTGCAACAGACGGTAATATGACCGGGAAAAAGCAAGGAAGGATTTGGGGGAGGGGCCGTGGCCCATTTCAAGCAACTGTCTGGAACTCGGTTTGCGATTGAGGGCAGGGAACGTGGTAAAGTAGCCGAGATTCGAACCGGATACGTTCCGAGCGTCGGCGCACATCTTAGGACAGGCGTCTGACACACCCCACTGCCCGTCTCCTTGCAGATTTCAGCATCTCACAGAACTGAGAAGCGAAGTCATTTATAACGGACCGGCGAGGATACAGTTTCTTAAAGAAATTGCGGAATAAAATTTGAGTCGCTTGTAACAGGAAGATGAACAGCAGGTTCCTTTGATATCACAAAATAGCATCATTCGGATGAAAGCACTTACGAGGGGGGCAGAGGGCCTTTAATAAAAATCTAGTAAGCCTTCATACGAGTGGTAACGTCCCTCATTACGAAAATTCGACTACATTAATAACTATATGACCTTTGTTATTTATCATTTACAGCAGTGAGATTACTCAGTCCTTGCTGCCTCCATCATCAGGGTGATCGCCCTTATTATGAAGGCAGCCGGGATCTCTGAAACGTCGATAAACGTCTACCGGATAACCCAGAAGACATACACCTTCGTACTCTCCGTCGTGAAAACCTCAGATCCTACATAGGATCACCTTAAATGCCTAATACAAGCCCACGAAACTTTAAACTTCAGAACACAAAGAAAGCCGTCTCCATTAGGCAGCTTTAAGAAATGTGACGAAGGAGAACACACAACTAAGCATATGCACAAGTCGAAGTAACTTCAGCGAATTTAATACCAGGCGAAATTTTGTATTTTCTATCGTGCGGTTCAGATTCTGTCAGATTCACGGGTTCTCAGGTCTTAAAAACAAAACATACAAGACTGACCTTTAAGTCTAGATCTTCTTTTGCGTGGTAGATGAAAATTTTTCTCGCATTGGTCACTAACACGTTGCTCAGGCCGTCGGAAAATCTGAAGAAAGAGAGCACTTGTTAGACCAAGGCATAGACGGCGCGTAGGATTTTTGGAGTTGATTTGTGTGTATGAGGACAGATAAGAGTGGCGGGCTGTTGTGAACACGGTGATAAACATTCATGCACGGCAGGGAGTTCGTTGACAAGCTTTGCAACTACTAGATTATGAAGGTGGACTGTATTCGATGAAGTCCCTTTTTCTGCGTCAGGGACAAGTGAGAAACGAGCACAGGATGACAGGTTGCGTTCTTGAATTTAATCTGAGATCACCGAGCGGAAAATCGGGAATATTTGTGCTGGTCTAAGAGTTTTAAATCTAAACACTTTTTCCTACCACTGCAGATTATGCGTATTTCAGGACACATACGAGTCGAGTACGAAACTTTATTAGTCCATCTCTGAGAAGGGTTAATGGGCGTCATATTTTTGTTACCACGGAAATTTAAAAACGTTGAAAATTACGATTGTAGGTTATGCTGACGACATATCATCTCTGCGGTTATTTATCAGTTCAGCCTACGTTAAACTCTGAATACTAGGGTTTATACAAAAACCGACTTTTAAAAAAATTGGTTTTCGAATTTTTACAAGAAAATATAATTAAAACAGTAAAAAAATATTTGTACTTATTTTAAAAAATTTCAGTTTACTTAATATTTATGGAACTACAAAAATATAACAAAATAAAATATACTTCATACGAAACCAAATAAAAAACTAAAATCCGTACAAAATATAAATTTTTATTTCATTTAGTATTTTTCTTCAAGAAATATGATTTCAAAAAACATAAAATGTCCACTGAACGATTAC